TGTGCAGTTCATCTCCTGGCAAAAACTCCAAGGGAGGTAACCTGACAACAGACGTACATATTGTTTTTAATATTCTGTATCCAAAATTATCTCCTTATTTCATCTTTTACATGTCTTTTTCTTTACTTTGACCAACTCTCCACCCCCTAACCTAGCGCACCCTCCCCTCATCGTTTGTCTAGTACTTCTTCACCACCACTAGCACCACATTTTTCTTCATCACCATCATCTTCTTCTTCTTCTTCTTCTTTCTCTTCTTCTTCTTCTTCTTCTTCTTCTTCTTCTTCTTCTTCCTACTCATCCTTCTCCCATCGTCCTCCTGATCTTCCTTCTTTTTTATTTCCCTTCCCCTCCTGGTCCACACTGAGATTTAGACTTACTGTCTCTAATGAAAGACATCGCTTATTCTGGGCAATCCCGTATCGTTTTGGTTGTCATCACAGACTGATTGGCGCCATAGTCGGTTCATTGTTTAAGTCACCAGTCGTCAGCATCATATGCCCTGCCAACTGGCGTCGGCACTCATACATCTCCACAGATCACGATCCTTGGTTGCCTGGAACAGCTATCTTGATGATATCCCCCCCCCCCCCCATGCTATCGTTTTAGCGCATTCAGCATAATCTCTCTTGGTCTGCCCCTACCCCTCTTTCCACTAATCTTTCCAGGTGTCACGATGCTCTCCATTGTCTCTCTTTTCATTATGTAGTGAAATAACAGTGTTTGTATCTTTCTTGTTGTTGTATATACTTTCTTGTTGTTGTATATAGAGTCCAAGGTATTCGTAACATTTATCTCAGAAACCACATTTCTGTTGCTTCCAAATTCTTCCTAATTTGTTCACTGACATTCCAAGATTCACCGCCATACAGGAGAACAGGTTCTATGTAAGATTTTAGCATCCTCTTTCCGACATTAAATGAGAACAATTTATTTTCATATTTTTTAATTTTCTGAAATGCAGCTTTCGCTTGACCTATTCTGCTTTTATTCTATGTCACACATTTTCCATCTGATATGATTGTTCCCAGATATGTGAATTTATTGACTTTACAGTTCACACTAAAATGTCAACAAGCATGATCAAAAGATGTACAGATAGCAGCAAAATTATCTAATGAAAAAACATTTTATTTTCCCGAAACTCAAACATGTACTCACAAATTATAAACGCGGACAGTGTGGAAGTCATACGTCTTGTCGTCGGTTAGATAAGTAAGGTGTTTTTTGTTTCTGGTAACTTCCACGCTCATCTGAGAACCTGGACAATATTTTCAACGTTAATTTATCATCATAATGTTAACTCTCCAAATGGGGAGCTAGTTAAAGCAATCTTTCTATAGCGAATGATTCAATGCAATACTAAATCTTTCTACGGCTAGTGATTCAAAAAGAAGTGTCAAATCTTTCCATGACGACTGGCTCAAAGAAATGGTATTTTGTTTCCATATTGTGTTCTGATTCAAAACAGCACTAAATCTTGTTAACTGCGACGAGTTTAAATAATAATAAAATAATAATAATAATAATAATAATAATAATAATCGGTCTCTTTACACGCATCTGGCGCATCGTATCAGGCTAGACTCATTTATTATAGGCCAATTGGAAATGTGTTCGAAATAACACCAGTCGCCTTTGCTTCCTAGTACTACCTTGCATCTACGTAAAGTGTATCGACCTGTAAGTCAAGCTCGTGTTTGAAAAAAAAAATCTGACTCCATGCGAGTTTTGAACTCAAAACCTTCGGATCTGCAAGCGAGCGTTTAGTCGCTGCACCATGACGGCTGCCAGTGCGCGGAGTGGTTCATGCCAGTGTGTAATTCTACAGACATATTCCGACAGAGTTAAACACCAGTCGTATTGTTGACTTTTTAGATGTGGCTTGAGGTCTGGACACTTTGTTAAACGTGACTTACATACGGGCTCTTTTAAAATATAAGAATACGACAATTGTTTCAACGGGAATAGCGAGCTAGGCAACTATTAACTGTAGTTGAAAGCTTGATAATTGTTGCTCAGAATCAAGAGCTAAAATATCTGTATCTGGAATCCAGAGCTTGACATTTGTTGATGGTAAGTGAGAGTTTGAGAATTGTTGGATGCCAGAAGGTCGACAAATAAAAGGCATCCATACTTTTGAGCATGGTCTTCTTCAACGAAAGTCGATTATTCACACCTGAGAACATAAAAGATGTATTTTAGTTGAGCTATATAGAGCAATTTTTAACATATGGCTGTAAAGTCTGTACAATTAATAAACAAGCCGAAGAATATCTTGAGGCCTCGGACATGTCGTTTTACTGAAGAATCTGTAGAATTCATTGGACAGCTAAGAGGAGTAACCCGGAAGTTCTGAAAAGAGGCGAATGTTTAAAGACAATTGATCATAAGCATCAGAAAACGACGGTCATCATTCTTTGGTCATGTTTTAAGAAGAGGGGAACTGAAACATATTTTGACCACTGGAAATATCTTTGGAAAAATTTACAGAGGAAGGCTGCGTGAGAAGATTCCTAAAAGCCTTTTGTCATTGAGGAGTGTCATCACACGAACTGATACACACATTTGCGGATTGGGGAGAAGCATGATCGCCCTCGCCGGTCAGCAGGAGATGTGATGATGCCGATGAGTTTCTTCAACCATCAGTTGAGCTTCCAGGATCATCCCAGACAGGATGTCTAATAAGTTTTCCGTTCCTGTGCTAGTGGAAATCCCACAAAATGTCCCTCATTGTTCTAACTAAAAACCGGAAAAACCTGTCAGTCCCAGCAGCATCTAAAAGTTTGCACATGTGATAAAAAAATGCACAAAGCAGCTGTCAGACATGCCATCACAAACGGGCCACACCAGAACTACAGCTCATTGTTAGCGCAAAAGCTAACATTGCACCCGCAAACCTATACGCCTGTCTGAACTTAATCAGATACCGCCATGTTAATGCAGTCAACAACACATCGAGGGCAGGGCACACAAAAAAGCCAATTCTAATCAAATCCACAGCTCGCAGTGTCCAGCCAACCATTCATCTCAGTAGCTTGGCGGCGGAATGCTTGACTTTGCTCACTTTAAAGAACCAACAGGTTAGACACGTATACGACACAGAAACAGTCAAAAACCAGACATGACTGACTGGCATAAAGAAAGACAAAGTGATGGGTAGACGAGATTAGAAACTGTTAGACAACCAGTATAATGATAGACAATCAAATGAACAGTAAGACGAAAACAAAAGTCAATCAAATTGGAGAACATACAAACAGAAATGAAAAGAGTATTATAATGAGAGAGTCACAGAAAAAAGTAAGAAACCTACAGAGGACCTAAACAAAATGAAAAGTAAATAATTAATTTTGCAGAAAGACAAAATGAGAGGCAAACAGATTGTTAGACTGGATTTTTGGGTTACCTGCATAGTGCATGTGGTTCCAGGCCGAGGTGATGAAGACTGAGCCCAACATCTGCTGCCGAGTGCACGAACTAGCACATTGCCCCCGAATCTCCAGCTTCTCTTGATGAGGTGGGAGAAAAAACAAGGAAGGCCCGACCATCAGGATGCCTGCGTCGTACGGTCTCCTGAAAAAGTGTAGAACGTTTGGGCGGTTATGAAATAGTGATGCCTCCACGCCTACTAGATCAGCCCATTTTGTGCCACATCGATTAACACCGCCTCCCCCCCCCCCCCCTTTTCTTGTAACTTGGTTACCTGGACAGGGTATGTCGGTGCTTTAGTAATATCCTACCAAAAACAGGGGAAATCCACAGGTCACGGGACAGTCTAATATTTCAGGGGGTGATAGATAGGCTTCACGCAGTCGTCAGACCTAGGCTGCATGCAGTCGTGGGACCTAGGCTGCACTCTCTTGTGGGACATAGGTGGGATGGGGTTAGGGCCAGTGCTAGATATTTTGGGGTCGTTGAAAGCATTAGAAAGCGGGGAAACCCAGTCTTACCACCCTCTAAAATGTTGGACTGTCATGTGGCGTCATCTGGGGGTAAGATATTAATAAAGAACTGGTATGTCAATAGAGCACTTCTAACCATTGGCACTTAAACTCTCACAAAGTTGCATCCTCGAACACTTGCACCAACAGAGGACAACATTCAGCCATTATGATGTGCCAGGCTACAAATATGGCCAGGTTTTCTGGGGAAACAGCTCGCCTCCATTCACTTGCTTGAAGATACACTCAGATCACACTCTCCCAGCGCCACAAGAACGAACTCTCCCAGATTTGAAAACAAGACAAGAGTTTTTTTTTTTTTTTTTTTCTTTATTCCTTAAAGCCTAAATATCCTCTTCTTCTTCTCCTCCTGCTTTTAAAAGCTCTACTCACGATTTTATACTTTCTAGATATGGCAAGCTCCAGTCAAACTGCACGTTTACTTCGACTTGGTATCATTTACTCGAATTGTCCACGCTTGCAATATAATTAGTAAATCGATGCCATCCATCCGGATTCTGACACATAATGTATGTTTAGTAGTTGTCCTCATTTGTAAGTAATGAGAGAATGGACCTTACTTCCAGTCACTGTCCACCAATCACACCAACACATACAATCAATACTCCTGTCCATTACCCAAAACCCCCACCGATTTTGTTGCTGTCATCAGACATATATATATATATCCTACGGATGTTACCATGTAACATCAGATATCAATTGACCTTATAGATTCTACTATATAAACTATACACCCCAGCCATCCGCAATTGCGGGGGTGTTTTCAGTTTTCATTTTTGTGGAAAGGGGGGTGGGGGTGGTGCGCTCGAACATGCGCAATCTTGTTTGAGGGCATAGATCCTCCAGTAAGTATTTCACTATAGAACATGTACATCCGGTTGGGAAAAAAGTACCATACGTAGATACCACACGCTACTACATGAATGTGTGCGTGTGTGTGCGCGTGCGCCAGTGTGTGTATGTGAGTGTGTGTGAGAGAGAGAGAGAGAGAGAGAGAGAGAGAGAGAGAGAGAGAGACAGCCAAATACTCACAAGTTGGGTGTGTAGTGTAGAACCAGCCCAGAAGAGTCCGTTAGTCCAGCCTTACCCTCAGGGTTGTTCCAGTGCAACTGTTGACAGATGTTGACATAAATAGTGTGTGATTATTACTGACTGTACGCAGATCTAGTAGACAGACAGACAGACAGACAGACAGACAGACAGACAGACAGACAGACAGACAGACAGACAGACAGACAGATCGAACAAACGGGGGAAAAACATGTTATTTTCAAAGAGTTAAGAATTGGGCACACAGGCCGGTCTAACAGTCTGGCCTTCTAGTGTCCCTCCTTTCTGACATAATTTCATTCATACATCAATCAATAGTGAACATTATCAATAGCATCAAAACATTCAGCACAAGTACTGGAATGTGCACATGTAAGTGGTAGGGAGCTATATATATATTCCCATTCTTCTGCTTATTTTGTCAATATCAGCTTACGTCGCTAGGCGTCGCGTTCATCACACGATCGGCAGCCGAGCCAGGGCGCGCCCAGTCGCTTGATATCGGGTAATGTTACGCAGTCTCAAGGTGTCAGTGACTCCTTCAATCCACTTCTTCTCAGTCTTTCTCTGCTTCTTGATGTTTTGATTTTCAGATTGTACTCTCTTGCTGCTGGCATCGTTGGTTTCAGTCTTATTAGATGGCCAAACATTTCATTCTTTGTTTCTCAAAAAATTTGACGATTGGGTGAGGTCAGAGAGCCAGGAAAACGGGAGACAAGTTGGAAAAGAGTGTCCAGAATATTTCGTGTTCTGTAAACAGGGGTTACGGAAAAGCGTAAGATTTAAACTGACATTTGATCGAATAGACGAGGTAGCATCAGTTGTGTTTTGACCATTTGACAGGATGGTTGTTTGGTGTAATGACTGGGGTGAACGTCATCTGTGAACTGTAGGAATGTCACTTTTGCAAGCTTGAATGTCCGAGGAGAATTGATTCTGAATGGCAACGTTTAGTGACAGAAAATATTTGTGTTACTGAGAATCAAATGCTAATACCCAAGCGAAGGGAACCTTCTGACTGGCAGGTAACTGTACCAACTGTTTAACTGAAAGGGTTGGAATCTTCTAGCAATTCCCCCTGGTCTCTGGGTAGTGAGATCGGACGCCCGTGTGCATTGTTGCGCAAGTAAAAAATACATTGGCAGTTGAACATCGAAATAGTAGACTGAAGGCGCTGCCAGGCAAAATTAGAGCCTGTGCACTGTGCTGAGCTTCTTTGGACTCAGACTTGAGTTAGAAGAAGAACGGAGCACTTATGGGTTATTACCCGTGTGCCATGATGTTGATCCGTTGTTCAAAAACCTTAAATCTGTCGTGGCAGTCAATCATGAGCAAGTGCCAGCGACTATGGAGAACTGTGGACATCGACTCAATGACTTATTGTTGTGCCACAGTAAACGATATCACCGTCAGAGTCGTGTCTTGAATGTACCATCATGTGTCCAGACTTTACAGTTTAACTGAGGCACGTATAATGTATAGAAACTAGAACGAGCCAGACAGCAGCATTATTGCAGTTCCTAACGGGAACAGATATCCAAAGCTTCCGTATGAGATCCTTGCATTCTTAAACCAGAAGCTCCCCAAATGAGAAAACAAGTTTGTAGAAATATGTCTGGATGCTCCATACTTTTCGCTTTACAATAAACCACACATAGACAACACCATCTTCCCATCACCTCTAAGGAAATTGTTCTGTAGCCATTTCGTCCTATCCTCATCCCAGCTTGTTGGTTGAAACACTCGCCGTCTCTACCCACAGTCCACACGTAGAGAAATTCTTGGCAGGCGGAGGCCGCCAGGGCGCCACATTCGTAGGGTTTACTTCGAGGTGATGTCCCATCTGGGGATCGAATCAACAGTATGGATATATGTTCATAAATCCATTAATTACTTCATGTGTTACATGAACATAAGTTTTACCTTTCATTTGGAGCAAACAAGGCGGAGAGGGTGGACTGCGTGAGCAACAAAGAAACTCCTCAATGCTGCCCAGGTTTTGTGTATGGAGAGGAGGAGGAACTTCATCACTCAGAATACTACGATCCCCATGCCCCACATAGCAAAATGTAAAATTATCTTCTGGAAAAATAGAAAGCCAGCAGTAGCTTCCACTGTCTAATATCCTCAGTTTTATCAGGTATTATCAGCTGCATGAATACATGTATCCACTTACGTGTACGTCAACCTATTCATCTATCATTTCCTTCACATTTGCATGCTCCCATTTATATGAAAACCAGTCTGTTATAGCGATGGAAACAATACATTAAATTTCCTCTCCCTGTTAGCTTCTGTAAGTAAAAGCAGGAACTAATCAGCTATTTCCTCAATCCACCCACCCGTCAACTAATCAATTCGTTCCTCATACAATTAACCCGTATACCAAACAGCTAGTTCCTCGATCCATTCATCCGTTCTCTAATCAGTTAGTTCCTGAATCCATTCACCCGTCCACTCTTTTTACTGCCTCGGACACTAGCTGAAAAAAAAAGACTTTTTTTTTTAACGCTGTCGGACAAAGAATAATTTAGTTCGGCCATCTAGTGAGAAGGCGGCGAGACCAAACTGTATGACAGTTGTTTTCGTTGTTTTAATTATTTAACAGCTGAACATCTGGGAAGAAGATGAGGGGAAGACCAAGAAAACTATGGATACATTGTATACCTGAAACCTGCAATAAGTTAAAACAAGTCCTTCACCCAAGACATCTGAATGGGGCTAAACAAATACAGGAGATCATGACAGTGTGCTACAATTTGGTATCAGGTGAGACGACAAAGAAGAGGAAGGAGACATATTACCCACCTGTACAAGCAGAGAGACTAATATGGTGGAGCACATCCTTGTTGTCTAACGCAGGTGTCACAGCAACCAGGTGAAAGTCCTGGTCCCGGGGCAAGCCCAGCTCAAAGATGTCAAAGATCATACAGATGTAAGTTGTCTCCTTGGTCGGTACTGGACTTCCAGAGGGAAACCGAACAGTCAAGTTCTTCACACCTAGTCATTGGAAGAGTCCACAAGACAGAAACACTATGTTAAAAACCTTATTAAAATTTAAATACTGTCATCAGGGATACATCTAGAGTGGTGTAGCAGTTTCACGCTCACCTGCAGATCCGAAGATCATGGGTTCAAATCCGAAAAGAGCTGGACATTTCGTCAAAAATTACCTTAGCTCCCAGGTCAACCCAGCCTTAAATTGGTACCAGCTGACGTCCTGGGAAGTAAATACGGCCGTCTTGATGCTGGCCACTTCATCTATCAAGTACTGAATGGACTACAAAATATGCGTCTAGGACTGTGTGTCTAGCGGCGTCCGTGGCTTAGGCGTTGCGAGTCCGACTCGTAATTCCAACATACCGCGATTGAAATCGACTGCAGGCTGCATGAATTTGTATCATGGGATGGGGCGTTGCAGGTCGACCTAGCCTAAAATGGGTACAAGGATGTATGTCCTGGGGAAGTAAAGACGGCCGGCGTAATGCTGACCACCTTACCCGCCTAAAATGGGTACCAGGATGTATGTCCTGGGTAAGTAAATACGGTCCGGCGTAATGCTGACCAAATTACCCACCTTAGTGCTGATTGTGATCTGTAGAAATAGGGTATGCTTTTCCCATATATCCGATGAGCGCAAGGCGTGAAAAGGGATCCTTACTCTATTACTTTTACTTTACTGTATGTCTAATATTTATGTACGCATGCTGTAATATTTCCAGTCAGTCCACAAACGGTAACATATGCCTGATCCAAAAGCTGTAACGCATGTACATAACATATCATAACCCTTGGCCCATTAGGGTCGTGGAGGTGTATTGATGGAAGCACTAGTAAATAAAACCCGCCATCTTTCTCTGTCTTCTGTGTGTATCTTCTCGTCCTTTTTAGGATGAAATTTTTCGTTATTTAAAACCCTACTCTGGCTCTTGCCAGGGGCCGCAATATAGCCTGGCCATAAATGTGGCCTAAAGGCTGAGCGCGGTTTCTGGGACCTCTCCACGGTAATCCTCACCCACATGGTGACACATTGTGTCATCGGGTGTTTATCGCTTGTGTGATGTCCTGGTGGGGTAGAAAGTCAGTCAGTCTGCCTTCTGCTTGATGAATAAGTGAATGATAACTTAGTCCTGTCCATTTCTTGATGTTGTCATTCCAGTTTTTGCCGCCCTCTACCAACCTATATTGTTATTTAACTTGACCAAGAATATTTACCATCTTCCTCCAGAGCTGGACAATCAAGACCACCAGTCCGACACACCTCAGCCAGCCACTGACCCTGGCTAGCCCACAGCCCTCCAGGTTGTTGCCGCTGCTGGCAAGCCGGACTGTCCCAGGGGTCACAGATTCCTGAGATCATGAAAACCACAGACATTATAGTTGTTTGTTTGTTTGTTTTATGAAAATAACCCTTACGGTATTAGAGCAACCTTTCGGCCTTGATAGTTAAATACCGTAAATCTGGGAGAAAATGTGGCTTTCCTGCCTACCCCCGGGATGAACCCGGAACACAAGACGTGTATGCGAAATCAAGCCAATCCGCTAGAGAGCCGGGCAGACATTATAGTTAAAGCTTATATGAGTAAATGCAAAATTGAATAATGAGGTTTAGCGAAAGAAAAGCAAACACAGTTTTGATATCACAGAACACGGTACCTTCCCATAAGCGCTTCGTTCTTGTCTTCAGCAGATAGCGGAGAGATCCAATTCTTATGAAGTTAGTAGCAGTTTGAATATATGTCCGTCTTGCCTTTCCTCTGAGCGTAGAGTGACGACCAGATCCCCTGATCACTCCTTGTCATACTATTCTGATCTATTCATGCCTCCGCACTTTTACGTTGCTCTTTAAAGGCCCTGACTACGTCTAGCTTGTCAGGAATACAGTCACACCACTAATTAGTGCAGAACCAACCAGTCTGTTGGTCTGTTCATTTTCTAAAACTCCTGCATATCCCGGAGAAAATATCCAAAGAAAGCTAACTAGCCGGGACCCCTTGCCACTCTGCACGGAAAAGAACTGTCATCACATTCCTCAACATGCTTTATGAGTTTGTAGCAAGCACAGAAAGAAAACTATCGAAAATGATGGTCATCCAGGCAGTTATCATATCTTCTTCTCCTTCTTTGTTCACCGGCTGTAAGCTCCGACAGAAAGTCCTCTTTGTTCGTCCATTTGGACTTCGGATTTGTGCTTGAGCCTGAGTTTTGTGTGTACACTCGTTTTACTGACTTATTTGTGTGCGGTTGGTTGTTCCTCGCCACTTAGGCAGATGCACTCAGACTTTGAAGTAAGTCCCCAGTTAGTCGACTCCTACGACCTGTTTGCTGGAAAGATAGTGGATCTATTATTCTTTTCCTCCACAATGGGGCCCCAGAACCAACATGAGGAACTCATCGTATCAAAAACTAAATCACAGCAACGTAAAATTTATCCAGCAGCTCAACGAAGTGAATGGAAAGCCGTACAAGGTTACGAAGGAAAGTCTATTCTAAAACCTTTACTTAAAAAACAAAATGACTTCACTGCAATACCAAACGAAGAAACACTTCAGAGACTCAATCCATGATTCTTGCTTACCTTATCCCACAACAACACTCAACGACAGCAAAGATACAGAAGTAAATGAGACACTTGTCTTCAGTCTGTCACAGAGTAAACAATATCTAGAATATTGTTTCAAGCGACACAATGTATTTATATGAAAACAACTGGCTCACTTTATTCATCTCTAGAAAGGAATATTTGTTTTTGTACCAAGGCATTTCAGTGTAAAGGGAAAAGAAAACATTGATAGACTAGCTGGGGGAGCTACTGTAGGAAGCGGGATTTAAGTAGACAAGGCGGACAAGACTGGCTTCAGCTGACAGGCTGCTACTGACGTCACCAAACGGGCTAACGGTACGTTAACGCAGCGTTTCTTAAACGTTTTCATCAGGCACAAAAACATTTGGCGGCACACCTACTCTTAAAACGGTTTGAATACTTTCAAAAAAAAAGAGAGAAGAAAACAGTGCAAATTTAATGTCAAGCAAATTTTAAAAGATTCTTGATAATTGCTGCGGCCCGGCTGACACTCACGGCACTCCTGGCTGCCTCGGCACCCAATTTGAGAATCGCTGCTTTAACGTATCGTTAGCCCGGTGACGTTTTGGAGCCGGTCATAAAGGCGGAGATCCTGTGTCCTCAGCTAGACAGGGCGATAAAAAAAACTGTGTGTGAAATTACTCATCAAAAGGAATTAGTCAAGAGAGAGAGAGAGCGAGCGAGAGAGAGAGAGAGAGAGAGAGAGAGAGAGAGAGAGAGAGAGAGAGAGAGAGAGAGAGAGAGAGAGAGAGAGAGAGAGAGAGAGAGAGAGAGAGAGAGAGAGAGAGAGAGAGAGAGAGAGAGAGAGAGAGAGAGAAAGAGAGAGAGAGAGAAAGAGAATTGACAGTATCAGTCGTAAACTCAAAGTATGCAGTAATGAGGGATCCGAGTAATTGAAATGGATCGATATGTGATGAGGATGATCTGTCGACTATTTATCAAACTAAATAGTTAACTTACTTAACAATTAGCCAACATAATTACGTAGTAATTAACTATCCAGCTAATTACCATTTATCTGGATTTACAGGTGCGAACACTACATGGGACAAACGTTATGGATATTACAGCCCCCCCCCCCCCCCCCCCCCCCTTTCCCACACACCTACTGGACTTCTACTTACATTTAAACCGTCAGGCCTATAATAAAACCTTACAGTTGAACGGGCTTTCTGGGACTTGACCTAGTGGGATTCCAATGCGAGTAATGACACACTGCACTTTGCGTCACAGTGTGTTATTGTGCGGTCCTTGTAGGCTCTACTTTCACTGCACTCACCTGGATGAGAGAGGCTTGTATTGTGCGGTCCTAGTAGTGTCTACTTTCACTGTCACTCACCTGAATGAGAGAGGCTTGTATTGTGCGGTCCTAGTAGGGTCTACTTTCACTGTCACTCACCTGGATGAGAGAGGCTTGTATTGTGCGGTCCTAGTAGTGTCTACTTTCTCTGTCACTCACCTGGATGAGAGAGGCTTGTATTGTGCGGTCCTAGTAGTGTCTACTTTCACTGCACTCACCTGGATGAGAGAGGCTTGTGTTGAATCTGGGGATCTCATGTTCTTTCCACACACAGTCTGGGTCACCCAGTTCCGCTCCATTGGTTCGTCCATCTCCGTCCGAGTCTGACCGGCAAAGAGCTTCTGTCCATTTCTGAATAGGAACGATATATATTATATATATATATATATATATATATATATATATATATATATATATTATATATATATATATATATATATATATATACAAAAAACGACAGTGCCTCATCCATTGAACAACATACCAAAACAGCAACTGAAGAATACCAAACTTTCCGCCAGACCTTTCTTCGCATATGTTTTTTTTTTAATGAAATTGCAAATCGGGAAACATGCTCTACCTATATCTAATTGTCTGTCTGAATGACTATCACTTGTCTGTCTGAATGACTATCACTTGTCTGTCTGAATGACTATCATTTGTCTGTCTGAATGACTATCACTTGTCTGTCTGAATGACTATCACTTGTCTGTCTGAATGACTATCACTTGTCTGTCTGAATGACTATCAGATGTCTGTCTGCATGACTATCAGCTGTCTGTCTGCATGACTATCAGTTGTCTGTCCGAATGACTATCAGTTGTCTGTCTGAATGACTATCAGTTGTCTGTTTGAATGACTATCAGTTGCCTGCATAACTAGTTTCCTAACAACTTTACTTACCAGTCCGGCTCCTGCAAAGTCTAGACCGAACTGGTTCCTGGCCCCAGTTCCCTCCACAAGAAAATGACCGACCCCCTGCCAGATGGTTCCAGGTTTGCATGGGACAGGAACAGAATCCCCGTTTGGGATGCGAATCTGGAAACTTTTAAATGACGCCACGAGTTGCAGCAAGGATATAGCCAGAAGTAAAACCGCGTACAGTCTGTGAGAGCATACACGCATACATTGTACATACTCGAAGGAAAATAATTATGTTATAATTTTTAATTAAAAAATTCGCGTAACCTGATGAGAGTGAAACTGTTTTTTATTGCACACAAGAATACCTTAGGGCAGTGATTCCTAAGCTGTGCGCCGAGGTGCCCCGGGGAGCCTTGACCTCTCCACAGGGGCACCGCGAAATATTCGAAGATACACGAGTTTTATTTGTTTTGATTTCTTACATACGAATAGTCTACTTTTACTTAGGTTAGGGCGCCGTGGAAACATTTTAATTGAAAAAAGGGGGGGGGGGGAAGGCACCGCGTCTAAGAAAAGTTGGGAAACACTGCGTTAGGGTTCAGCCGATCAAATGACAACTCTGCATCTGGGTCATCGTTAGTTTCTATGCGTACAGGTTTTACTGACAACTTATACCTTTCTGAAAACTATGCGTGAATAGTAAATAAGATGACACTCAGATCAAGAGCATGTCATGGATTTTCTGTCTATTTTTTCCAGATGTGCGAGGCAACGAGCAGGCTGATAGATTAGCTGCTGCCGTTTTTCTTGGAGGTGAGCTACTATTTGATAAAGCAGATGTGGTGAAGGCTTTATGGGATCGCATGGACAGTGCAAAAGAATATATAGGGAATCCATAAAACTAAAGACTAATTCAACTGGGGGTGTTTAGATGTTCTCGAAGATATTTAACACTTCGGCCTTGATTCCATGATAGGTACCGTAAATCTGGGAGAAATGTGGTTTTTCTGCCTACCCCGGGAGTGAACCCGGACCACAAGGAGTTCTTCACCCGGTCACCGCGATGTCAGGTTTAACCAACTACGCTAGAGATCCTGGCGTCGAAGGTATTCAACATTGAAGGATAAATAGATACACATTTTTGACGAAGTTGCAACTGGTACTATTAATATGTTATCTCTTTGTTTGCTACTGAAGAGTGGGACGGTACACGTGAGGGAATGTCCCGAGTGCAGTGATGTTAATTTTGATTCATTCATTGAACAGTATATAATCATGGAGCAGGTTCTTTGCAAAACGTCGCTCTTACCAAAGAAAGTCACTCGGTTCTCTGCCAATGAAAGAGGAGTGCAACAAGCTCTTGCTCCCACAGTCCAGAGACACTAAATGTTTTTGGTGCAGTGGCACCTGTTGTTTGTCCACATCAAAGGGATGAGGACCAATCTTTCTTTCATCCTCATGAAACTGTAGTTGATTGTCTAAGCAACTCGATTGTATGTGAGTATGACTTATAAGCCTAATGCGGGTCTGGGCATATGTAAGACAATGGTGACAGGGAACAATGTATGTAGGTAAAGGAGCTGTTATACAGGCTTTTCATGCAAGTCTTCGCTGTTGATATAGCCTTTTTTTTTTCTAGATGCCTGGCAAGCTATTCTACCACCTTGTATAGACCAGAACTAATCAACTGGCGGCTCGCTGGCCTAATCCATTGTCAGTTGCATTGTATTAATGATCTTTCTATGCTGGGCTCGGGCCCCTTGACGATCCCCATTTCTAAAATATCGCCAGGAATTAGACAAATATTGTGACCCATTTACCTTTATTTATCAAAATATTTTTACTTACCCATTTTTTGACGGGTGACCGTTGGTTTAGGTTTAAGATTTTAATCCACGGCGCCATGTGGGTTCCAGGTCACAGTTAAATGAGGGGAAGGGATTGGAATATACCCCCTCCCCCAAATAAGCATTTCTTAAGAGCTTCTATAAGCCTGCTCGTCACTTTTCTCTGTCTGGTTCAGGAGCACTATATTTTCTTTTTAACCACCATATGTTTTATATCGTATTTATTTTCTTGTAAATGGATAAAACACCAAGCATTGATTTGGCGAGGAGGGGGGGGGGGGGGGGGGGGGGTAGTGATGTGTAAGACACTGACAGGATAAACTATAATGATACATTAATTTAATGAACTTACCTCCTTAGCATTCTAATTTGATAAAATAAGTCCCTCGCATTGATATACCTGCAGTATCTGCTGATGCAGTTAAGTATATCATTCACTGCTGAATGATTGTAGCCATCAGAGAAATAGAAAATAGTTCTTCAAGTCTTCTAAATAGGTCATCCTTCCGGAAAACAACCATTTCTTTACTTAGTCCTTTGTTCGGTAGAACTGAAGCATTACTCGTTGCGGATGAAGGGTTTTCGATAACGTACGCTGCTTTGTTTCTTTTGTTGCGGTACTACTACATACTCACACACATACAGACGTACACACCTACCTACCTACCCACACACGTACGGACATACATACCTACCTATCTACCCACACACACTCGCACACACATACATATTCACACAGAAATATACACTCTCCTACATACTCACACACACGGTAGTACTTTTCTGTACAATGTAGGCCAAGTTTTTGTACTGTTGGAAAAGTACTTGCGAAATTNAAAAATTTTGAAAATTTTCAACTGGTCTTTTATATGTCATCTCTTCTTTGGCTACTGAAGAGGGACGGTGCATTTTTGGAATATCCAGAGTGCGTGAGTTAATTTTTAAATTTCATTATTAACAGTAAATCATGGAGCGGTTCTTTGCGAACTGTTTTTACCAAGAAAGTCACCCGTACAAAGAAACCTCGTTCTCTATCAATGAAGAGGAGTGCAACAAGCTTTGCCCACAGTCCAGGACACAAAACGTTTTCGTGCTTTGGACCTATTGTTTGTCCACCCAAGTGATGGGACAATCTTTCTTTCCCCCATCATGAAACTGTATTGATTTTCTAACAATTTGACTGAGTAGATGACTTATAAGCCCAATGGGGGCTGGCAAATAAGAAAAGGTGCAGTGAACAATTTATGTAGGTAAAGTAGCTGTTATACGGGTTTTTCTAACCTGTCTTCGCTGTTGAGCTAGCCTTTTTTTTTTTTTTAGATGCCTGTGGGTTCCAGGTGCCCGTTAAAAGAGGAGAAGGGATGGGAATATACCCACTCCCCCAATAAGCACTCTAAAAGATAAACTAATTAGATTGTCCTGCAAAGTCGCGCGTATCTGTAGTTCACCGCCCAGAGGATCGGCACAGCTTCTATAAGCCTGCTCGTTACTTTTCTCTGTCTGGTTCGGGAGCACTATATTTTCTTTTTAATTACCATATGTTTTGTATCGTATTTATTTTCCTGTAAACGGATAAAACATTAAGCATTGATTTGGGGGAGGAGAGGGGGGGGGGGTAGGGATGTGTAAGACACTGACAAGATAAACTGTAATGATACATAAGTTTAATGAACTTACCTCCTTAGCATTCTAATTTGATAAAATAAGTCCCTCGTATTGAGATACCTGCAGTATCTGCTGATGCAACTAGGTATATCATTCACTGCAGAATGGCTGTAGCCATCAGGGAAATATAAAATAGTTCTTCAAGTCTTCTAAATAGGTCATCGTTCCAGAAAACAACCATTTCTTTACTTAGTTCTTTGTTCGGTAGAACTGAAGCATTACTCGTTAAGGATGAAGGATTTTCGCTAACGTAAGCTGCTTTGTGTTTCTTTTGTTGCAGTATATGTAGTAGTACTTTTCTGTACAATATAGGCCAAGTTTTTGTACTGTTGAAAAAGTACTTGCGAAAATTGTTTTGCGAAGACTTCAGATCCTAGTAGACCAGGTTTACTCAGAGTGACAGTGTGGCTTTCATGGGAACCAATTTACCACTGGTTAGATGTTCCCATTACAACAGTTAAAGGAACAATGCCGTGAACAGAATCAGCCTCTGTATAACGCTTTTATTGATCTTACCAAGGCATTTGATTTGGTTAGTCGAAAAGTTCTGTTCAGCATATTCAAGATTTGGTGTCCATCTACCGAACTAAGCATTATTGAGTCCTTCCACACAGGAATCAGGAATAAAAGATACAATCAACTTTGATGGTGCAACTTTGAACGAGTTTTTAATCAACAATAGAGTGAAGGAAGAATGTGCACTTGATCCAACTCTCTTTGCAATATATTTCTCACGTCTCTTAAAATATGCCTATCGCGATCAGGGAGTTGGTATATTCATTCATTCTCGATCTGACGGAACCTTTACAATGCCCGCAGACTGAAGGCCAAAACCAGGATAAGAAAGGTACTTATCAGAGAGCTGCTGTTTGCAGATGATGCCGCAATTACCACCCACTCAGCGGAGGAACTGCGGTGATTACTGTCTGCATTTGCTTATGCATGCTGTGAATTGGGACTAACAACAGGACAAAGACACCGTTTATAGTGCAGGGTGTGGGTGTTAACGATAGACCTGCAGTCTACACTGATTATGAAGAGCTGGGACAGATAATCAGTTAACCTATCTGGCATTCACGTGAATAACGAAGTATCGCTGGACCAAAAAATCAACATCAAGACAGATTAACAAACAAACAAAAGTCGAATAAAACACAGAGCTCACGATTAAAACAAAAACTTGTTCATCAGGCGCGTGTTCTCAGAACTCTGCATTATGGCAGTGAAACTGTGTCAGTTTATTAGCATCCGGAGAGACGGCTAAATAGCTTTCACATGCGGTGTCTAAGAAGAATACTTGGCATTAAGTGGCAGGACAAGATCACAAACACTGAGGTATTGGAAGGAGCAGGTATAACTACCGTTTTCACAATGCTCAGTCAACGAAGGCTCAGGTTGCTGGGTCAGACTTGGAGAATGGAGTATGGTGTGGAGGATGAGAGCTTTTGTATGTATGTGTAAGAGAGTGTGTATATCTTTATGCAATGTGTATATGTGGGCGTGTCTGTGAGAATGTGGTAGAGTGAATATATCTGTATAAAAATGAATGTGTGCGCGCGTGTGTGTGAGTATGTAGGAGAGTGTATATATCTGTATGAATATGTATGTATGTGCGAGTGTGTGTGGGTAGATGGGTAGGTATTATGTATGTCCGTACGTGTGGGGGTAGGTAGGTAGGTGTGTACGTCCGGACGTGTGTAGGTAGGTAGGTAGGTGTGTACGTCCGTAAGTGTGTGGGTAGGTAGGTAG